CATCACTAATGAAGGGATTCAGACCGTTCAGATGTGCTTTTCACAATACAAATCATTCCATACCAACAGGCTTTCTAGTTTAATTGGTTGTTATATTATCTGTTGCCGATATAATTTAGAGATTATAAGCAGTGCTGGCTAGTAACTGATTACATGTGATCTGGATTATGTAATCAGATTCCAAAATAAAGTACTTGTAATTAGATTACATTACATTTTATAATGCGTAAAATCAGATTACAGTTACTTTTTTATGGATTACATCATTGCATATTATTCACACAATGGCAGTAAATTATTAATAATTTATCGATTCACCCCGATTCTTTTCTTTCTTTTAAAATTTCCTTTCTAAATGAACCTACCGCTATTATACAGTTTGGGAAACCCTGCTGTAATGTCTTAATGCATTTCATAATTTTTTTTTTATCAATATGGTACACAATAATTCCTTTCAATTCTATGTGACAAATGAGTTAGGTCAAAAGTAATCTAAAATTAATTAAAAAGTAATCACACTACATTAATACTACCAATCTAAGTCGTGTTTTCTTAGGTTAAACATCACAAGTGAATAGATATCATATACCATATTTCCCCAATTGATTAATCACAGTATATTAAGAGTTGTTTTGTATTAAAGTTTTGCTGTCATATAAATATGCAAATGAGGCATTCTAGAATTAAATATGCACTAATTTGCATACATTTCCAGAACAGAAATCTGAACATCATTTCATTAAATATTTTAGATCTCTGTTTATCACTCCGTAAATCAGAAAATACTGTCAACAGCAAGAAAAAAAAACACATTTTCACCATGTTTTTGGTATAACATTTTATATAAATGATATAGGAACAAAAAAAACTCTGTAAAAACATTCAGAATATAGATAGGAATAAGTGCTGCTGAAGTGACGAAAAAGACTCATAGCGTTTAAAAATATGTATTGAGGTTGGAATGCAGATGCAAATTGATAAAGTTAAACAAGCGTATTTTGGATGTTTTCTTTCCACTAACCTAAGTCAAGTTATGAAAGCAAAATAGTCCAAAATCTCAACATTGACCTGTGCATGACAACACAATTGTTTTGCCTGAAGTGTCTTGCCTGAAAACAACCAAACTAACAACACAAAGAAGTTAAAAAGATCCCAGATTTCTTTGTAATCACATTGTCTCTGGTGCTTCTCAGAAACCAGGTTGTCCACGTCTGCCATCTTTAGATGAGTGCATAAGTCTTTTCTTCTTTATCTACATTGTTTCTGCCCTTAAAACTGGCCTCAGATCTCATTTGGTCCATTTTGTTCGTGACCGGGTCACTTACAGCTATTACTTCTTTTATGAAAAAAAAATGTACCTGCTGCTCTTCAGAAACAAACGAACTGCATATTTGATCAGAGAGCGGTTTGCAAGAATGTTGATTTATATGTGAACGCTCTAAAGCGAATCAACCCCTTTTAAAGCAATCTCACATGGTTTGAGTGCAATTATTGGAATGCATTTCACTTCATATTGAATGCAAAACACCCTGGAGTCACCTTTTCATGTTTGTGTAATGCCACGTATTTTTGGCAGTATCAGGTGATATGTTTTTGTGGGTTTATTATTGCATTAATGTATGGTGAAAGTGGAATCTTGTCGTGTATGTAATGGAATTGGTTGAAGTGTAATTATGCACATAAATCTTGCACACACACGCATGCACTTACGCATGAAGAACATGAGTGTGAAATAAAACATCACATTTAGCATGACCTGCAATGTCAGGATCAGATGTGGGCGGGGCATCGTGTCATGTAAAGCGTGATAAACTGATGAGGACTGTGAAAGCAGATGACCTGATGTGCTCTCTGTGAATGGACCCGGATGTTGCCGGAAGGGTCCGAAGGTCCCAGATGCGTTGAATGGATGCTGAGTGTCTTAAGAGAAAGGCAGTCCTTTTTCTGCAGGGAATGATATTTAATGTGTGTGTTTGAGAGGTTTTCTTCCAGTCAAGACATTTATTTTGAAGGAAAGAGATCATCCTGCCATAGAAATGTGTTTTTCCTTATATGCATGCGAAATTAAAGCAGAAGAACTGATCCATCTGAGATCTTTGCTAAAAGTGTGGAAACACTTTCATTCTTCTTGACGTGGTTTTGATGGATTTCTGATCGTTCTGAGAGTCGAGGGACAGAATGAGATGAAAAGAAAGTGTTTTTGGAAGTTTCCGGGACAAAACAAACAGAGTGGGAAACAGATGAAGGACACTGAAGATCCTCTGAGAGACGCTGTTCGGAACAGAAATGCTTGATCATGCCTCACTGTCTTCATCTTTTAGTTCTTCTGCTGTTTTGTCCTCCTCAAGGTAAGTTCAGCATCTTTAGAGAGTACATCACTAATGCAACAAGGAATGCACTCATGTTAAACAAATTATTTGTTTGTTTGTTTATTTATTTATTTAGTTCACTGTGAAGAAATATCTGTAGAAAACAGATCGTGTTCTGGCAGGAAATTACCAGTACAGTTTCCGTTAAGTTATGGTCATTTCTTTCAACCATAAAACACAACACAATGAAATGCATATTTTAAAATATGGTAAAATTCCATGAAAAATCAATACAGAAAATGCCTTGATAATAATATGGTACATGGTGCCATATTTGAATGTATTTTGTTTATTATATATTATATGTGTGTGTGTGTGTGTGTGTGTGAGAGAGAGAGTGTGTCTGTGTGTGTGTGAGGTGCATAAGTCTTTTCTTCTTTATCTACATTGTTTCTGCCCTTAAAACTGGCCTCAGATCTCATTTGGTCCATTTTGTTCGTGACCGGGTCACTTACAGCTATTACTTCTTTTATGAAAAAAAAATGTACCTGCTGCTCTTCAGAAACAAACGAACTGCATATTTGATCAGAGAGCGGTTTGCAAGAATGTTGATTTATATGTGAACGCTCTAAAGCGAATCAACCCCTTTTAAAGCAATCTCACATGGTTTGAGTGCAATTATTGGAATGCATTTCACTTCATATTGAATGCAAAACACCCTGGAGTCACCTTTTCATGTTTGTGTAATGCCACGTATTTTTGGCAGTATCAGGTGATATGTTTTTGTGGGTTTATTATTGCATTAATGTATGGTGAAAGTGGAATCTTGTCGTGTATGTAATGGAATTGGTTGAAGTGTAATTATGCACATAAATCTTGCACACACACGCATGCACTTACGCATGAAGAACATGAGTGTGAAATAAAACATCACATTTAGCATGACCTGCAATGTCAGGATCAGATGTGGGCGGGGCATCGTGTCATGTAAAGCGTGATAAACTGATGAGGACTGTGAAAGCAGATGACCTGATGTGCTCTGTGTGAATGGACCCGGATGTTGCCGGAAGGGTCCGAAGGTCCCAGATGCGTTGAATGGATGCTGAGTGTCTTAAGAGAAAGGCAGTCCTTTTTCTGCAGGGAATGATATTTAATGTGTGTGTTTGAGAGGTTTTCTTCCAGTCAAGACATTTATTTTGAAGGAAAGAGATCATCCTGCCATAGAAATGTGTTTTTCCTTATATGCATGCGAAATTAAAGCAGAAGAACTGATCCATCTGAGATCTTTGCTAAAAGTGTGGAAACACTTTCATTCTTCTTGACGTGGTTTTGATGGATTTCTGATCGTTCTGAGAGTCGAGGGACAGAATGAGATGAAAAGAAAGTGTTTTTGGAAGTTTCCGGGACAAAACAAACAGAGTGGGAAACAGATGAAGGACACTGAAGATCCTCTGAGAGACGCTGTTCGGAACAGAAATGCTTGATCATGCCTCACTGTCTTCATCTTTTAGTTCTTCTGCTGTTTTGTCCTCCTCAAGGTAAGTTCAGCATCTTTAGAGAGTACATCACTAATGCAACAAGGAATGCACTCATGTTAAACAAATTATTTGTTTGTTTGTTTATTTATTGATTTAGTTCACTGTGAAGAAATATCTGTAGAAAACAGATCGTGTTCTGGCAGGAAATTACCAGTACAGTTTCCGTTAAGTTATGGTAATTTCTTTCAACCATAAAACACAACACAATGAAATGCATAATTTAAAATATGGTAAAATTCCATGAAAAATTAATACAGAAAATGCCTTGATAATAATATGGTACATGGTGCCATATTTTAATGTATTTTGTTTATTATATATTATA